TGCTGCTCTCTCTCCTTGTGCCAGGTGACTGCAGGCAGGCAGCCTGTAGTGGGTGGTGCTCTGCTCTCTGCACAGGCTATGTGCAAAACAGTGGTGGAATTGTGTGAGCAAGCCCCTGTAGTATACAGATCCCAGCCTTGGAATTTTGTGACCTGTTTCCCTGTAGTACACCCATCCTTGGAATTGTGTGAGCAGCGCTCCTGAAGTATACCCATCTTTGCCTATGTGCTGGAGCTTCCCGTAATAAAGACCGGTCGCTGCTGCTCTCTCTCCTTGTGCAGGGTGACTGGTCTCGTCTCCGCCCCTCCTGTAGTTTTCTGAAGGCAACCTTTGGTGGGTTGGCCTGCTGGGTGTCTCCCACAGCACTGCTATGTGTAGCAAGTGATGATGTCACTGCTAATTTACAAGGTAATAACTGGGTGTTTGGTGCGCACAAAATGGATTTATATCTTTTGTAGCTATTGAGAAATATATTTACATGAAAGTTTTTATGCCTGGAGTTCAGCTTTTGGGAGTGTATTTCCACTATTATTTTCTCTCAGTAGCATGGCTTGCTCATGATATCCTATGGCAGCCTGCCAGCCTACTAAACTGTAATGTAAACACAAAGCAGGCGGACAGAAAGATGGCTGAGGTCAAAATGCTAATACCTGGTTTGAATGATTTTGAAGGTGAATTTCTCCACATTGGCTGCAGCTACTGACGTCAGCGGAGACTTATTTGCTGGTTGGTAAGAGTACAAACAGGGCCATCACTACCTTTTATGCCATCTGAGCCGGCCACAAGAAGGCAGCTGAGCTTTTAGCAGGCCGAGAGATGGCGGGTACGCGGCCGAGTGGGAGGCGGCGGGTTGGCCAAGCTATCACGGAGGGTAGGGGTATGGGTTGGTTGGTGGGGTGGTGGGGGTGCTGCTATCTTTGCTGGGGTAGATGCCAAGGGTGCCACACATTTACAAGGATGTTGAGGTTCATCAGGACCCGATCAGGTGATTTTGGTAGGCAGACTCTCCCTCTTATTTCAGCAAGTGTTTAGGCACGACTTATCACACTATCTGAAGTAGGTAAGAGAACTGAACTGTGTTTGTTTTTTTTTCTCAGGAAAACTTCAAAGCTGAACTGAAAGCAGATATTAAAGCAGAACTCCGGTCAAAACTATATATACTCCACTGATCCTTGGAGCCGAGTTGCTCTTAGACCGGTCCCCTGCATTGCAATGGTTTAAGGATCCTTGATTCATCACGTTCTATACACAGTGTATAGGACTGAGGGACATACCATCGCTGGAGGGAGCGTTGTCACAACCGGCTTGGCTCTGAGGATCTGGTGGGTATAACTTTATTTTCCTCCTTAAACCAAAACGGGCACTTAACTCTTGCAGTGCAGTGGTAGCCCCACTGCAAGGGTTAATGAAAGTTTTGTCCGGAGTTCTGCTTTAAATACACCAAATATTGCAGTTATGTATTAATCAAAAACCAATAAATTGTATTTAAATGCAAAAAGTATTAATTAGACTTGATGTCAGCCTCTTGTAATCCCCCGTACAGCAGCCCTCAGACTTGGAGAGGGAAGGGCAGCAACAGGGGCCATTCAGATTCCCCTGCATGCACATATGCAGGCAAGAAACAGACTGACAGGAAGAGTGTGCACAGTGATGATCTCATCAGCCTGCTGCTGCCTTTTCACTGTCCAATCTCAGGGTGAGGGACAGGAAAAGGAACAGGCTGTATTGCATCTTTGCAGAAGCAAAACATTGTGTCACGGGCCTGGCTGTGGTGTCTATCAGGGCCGTGTAAATCTCAGTACTGGATGGACAGAAACACAAATACTTTGGCAGGTTAGGGTTTGTTCACATGATGTCCAGATTCTGTGCAGACCAGAACAGTCAGCTCCTGGACCAAAACCACATCCCAATGTATCCCTATGTGATTTCTGGGCTACAGTTCACACCTTTTGCAGTGCTTTCCGTTTCAGCCCCCAAAAAATACTGCATGTCTTATTTTTTTTTCTGATCCGGAACGCGCAAAATGCTTCAAATGCACAGAACGCAGCTGAAAGCCCATTTTAAGCTAAAAAACAAACACCGGAATGCGGCAAAATCACAGTAAAAATGCACTGCACTGCGTTTGCAGATGTGTTCCAGACTTGGTGTGAACATAGCCTAAAAAACTCCCATATATGTATTTCAGTGGTTTGCCAGTGGATTAGCTTTACTTGCTCCTACACAAAAGAATAATAAATGCACATTTTTTTTATTTTATGAAGCTTGCATTTATTATTATTGTTGTTATTATAATTTAATTTTTATAAAAGGTGGAATTTCCCTTTAACTTCTAAGCCTGTGGATTGTTTGTCTCAGCTGGTTTATACCCCCTCTAGTGGATGAAGTTCAGAATGAATTATGTACATGACTTTAGTACATGCCAGCTTAAACCTTCAGATAACTATTTTTAACGTCACCTCTAAGTCACAGGCTTCCCTGGAATCAGATTGTTTGAAATGCCATAGCGGCCTGCAGAGCACAATTTACTCCGCATTACATAACTCTAAACGCTTTAAAGACCACCAGTCACAATTGGGATTATGGATTGGGATTATTGGGATTATGTAACAATGTGAATACTTGGTTGTTAATTATCATATATAAGAATACTTATGTGTAAAATATATATGTTTTTACCTCCACATTTAGCTTTACATATTCTGTCTGTCTCTGGGTCCTGAGAGCTGGGAAGTCATCTGACAGTTGCTGCTGATTGCACACAATACTAGGCTCAGTTCCCTGTGCTAACACACCAGAATAAGGATAATTATGATCAGGAAAGTGACAGTAAAGGTACCCATACACCTTACGATTATCGGACGATTTTCGTATGCGATCGACTTTTTGTCCGATAATCGTATGTGTGCATTGCAGTGTCCGACCGACATTACTGTACAATCGTACGACTTTTGACGGTCAAGCATGTTTGGAAACTTTGGTTGAGCGAAGCTTTTCGTAAGGTTGCTGGCATTTCCGTCCGTCAAAAGTCGTACGATCTACACTGTGCTTGCGCTAACGAAAATACGGCAAATCAATTACCGCATTTCGTCCAGGTGCTTTTCGTTAATTACGGCTAAATTAATCTTGCCATCATCGGGGCAGGATGGGGCTGCCGTACGAAAATCGTACGACTATTCGATCATCGGACGAAAGTTCCGTCCGATAATCATAAGGTGTATGGGCACCTTTAGGCTCACACACCACAGGTTACAATCTGACTATACAATCTATACCATCAACTTTAGATCTCCCATAGCTTTGTAATACGAGGACCTACTGAAACCATACAATCAGGCGGGAGCTTGCACTAGATACTTGTTGGTGGATCTTATGAGATTGTAACGTGTGTGGTGAGGTTTCATTTTACATGGCTGAAAAAGGGGTCCTTATCGTTGTGTTAAAAGCTTTGCAAATTGAGCGTGCTGTCTCCTGACTGCACGTAAGAATATCACATAACGGCTCGTTCACACCTTACTTGTGTTAAAGAAGAACCGGGGCATTTTGTTAGTTAACCCATTGGGGCTACCCCCTGCACTTCAAGAGTTAGCTGCTTGTTTTGGAGGAAAATAAAAAAGTTATACTCACCCGATCCTCCAAGCTGGCTTGCTTGCTCTTAGACCGGTCCCTGGAGCCTCGCTCCCCCTATGCTGCAGTGGTCTAAGGTCATCTATACAGAGTGTATAGGATGTGAGGACACCAAGGGACATACTATGCTGGAGTGGAGAAGGATACAGGCAAGAGGGAGTACTGTCACAGTCAGCAAGCTCAGAGGATCAGGTGAGTATAACTTTGTTATTTTGCTCCCTAGACCAAAATGAGCAGTTATTAACCCTTGCAGTGCAGGGGTAGCAAGGGTTAATAAAAAAGTTCTTCTTGAAATTGCATGTGTTTTCATGTGTTGAGGCATGTTAGGCAGCCCATTCATTTTGAGTGGACTGTTCTGTTAAGGCACAAAAATTGGTTCTTCACTTTTTTTTTTCAGTGCAGTGAACCGTAACTCCTAATGTTGCATTCATTGGATTTCAGTTTTCTCAATCAAGATAACTCCGCATCTTATGTGGGCGTTACCTAGGGCAGTCTGTATGCAAATACATCCCACCTAGGGCCGCTTACCCCTCCAAACTGAGCTCCACTCATCCATATTTGCATAACTCTTCCCAAAAGCCAGACCACTGCTTGCATCAGGGCTGAGGGCTCTTGAGAGGAGTACTGTGGTAGGACCCCCGCTACCGCCTCCTAACAGCCATGAACCCCTTGCATTTGATAAAGAAGCACAGAGACACAGAGATGATGTCACTAGGACTAAAATAAGATATGTAATGAAAATGGAAAGGTTTTATTTAAAAATCTCATTAGCATGTTGCTAAAGGGAGGGAGGAACAGGAAAAGTAAAAATATAAGCGCACTAAACTTCAGCTTTAAAAATATTTTTAATTAAGAGTATATACTTTTTGCTTTTCTCTTCCAAAGGCAGTGATGGGTCATTCTTATTCCTGGACAGATTACTATGGGCCCAGGCCGCCATTGTGATGCAAACCCAGGGGATGTGTCCATGACAGCCTGGGCTCATAGGAAATGAGTTGAATGGCGCAGGTCCTCATTCAACCCAGAAGAGTGGTGACATCTAGTGGTGGGAGAGGACTTTCCGTATCAAAGCAAAAGCTGCTTTTTTAATTTATAAAACTGCTCTGCTACTTTCATTGGTATTTTTTACAAATGAACTGGAGTTGTGCTTTTAGAGGTAAATAAGCAGTATAGCACAGAGCCCATTCATAGAACCAAGGAGTGGATGTATAGGGGGAGATAAAGGTGTCCCAGCTTGGCAGTGGCAGGTACATTTGCTTGAATGCAGGCTTTTTTGTTTGTTTTTTTATGACTTGCATTCCTCTTTAAATTGTCATTAGTAATACCGCACGAGCAACGATTAAAAACGAGTAATTCAAATCAATATTTTATTTCAGGCACAGCACAGGAGCTCTAAATGTTTCTGACATCCTGACAAGTTTTGACAATACCGGAAATGTGTGTAAGTTCTGTTTTCATTGTTACGTTTAAACTCCGTGCATTGTTTTCCCGCGATGCCGATTTCCATGACAAAAGTGTGAAAATTGTTGTGATATTTTTACGATATTTAATTGTTTTCCAGTGCAGCAGGCACTGCAGGCTCATGTAATCCAGGCTCTTTCAGTCAGCAATTATGAATGATCTGCATACGTTTTGACAGGCTTCGTAACTGCGAGGGGAAGGCAGCTGGTACATTCAAATAGATTAGGCCGCAGAAAGCCTTATGGAATGAGAAGCTAAAGCCTACTAACTGAATACACTCCAAACAGTTTGTACGCCCGGGGGCGAAAGCTTTATGAATGGCAAATTTATCTGCGAGGTCAAATAAGAGGCAGATGTGCTAAGCTTTGTATAAATATGTCTACATTATAACCGCGTTTCTCCAAACTAGGGGAATTCCTTGCTTTGAGGAAAGGAGCTGATTGTGACTGGAGCAAAATGTGGGAAGAATGACACTGACATGGCAACAAATAATAAAGGTTTAGTCCGACTTATCTCCTGTAATTATTTAGCACATTTCACCGTGTGCGCCAAACCAGCTTCTCATCAACCCTTTGACTGTCAAGGACGGATTCTAAATGTCACGGCTGGCCCTCTGTTAACTGGCCAATGACATATGCAATATTTCAAAGCGATTGAAAGAGTAAAAAAATAGTTTTATTTTTATATCTGTAGACTGTTAGTGAAGCTGCTTTGATTACTTCTTCATATAGCATAAGTAGCCACCATTTTGTTATCGCATCCATTTTTTATATTAATACAATTATAAGAAAATAAAAAACAATTAAGAAAGATTAAAAAACAATCAGACTATTTACCTAATAATTTATGTGTATTTTTAGGGCCATTTGTAATACTAAAAATATGAAAAATAAGGTTTTTGTGTGTAAATCACTTAATTTAAGTCCTGACATTACTGTGGATATGTGTATGGGTCTGTAAAGCCATGGCTCAACACATGGTACAACAGCCAGACAACTAGCATTTTTTTATTTCTAGCAATGGCAACTTCCATATTTTATCGCAGGTTATCGTTGCAGGTTTCATTTAAAGCTTTGTTTCCCACACTGGTCTTACCGGAAAATGTATGCATTGCAATAATTGAACTACTGGCTGTACATATGTACCATTTCCTTCAAAGCATGCACTTTTGGTGAGACTGGAATACAGGTTTGGGAGACACACCATTTAAGTATCAGTGCAGCTTCAAGAAAAATTGCTGTCCTGGATATGGCAGTACACTGTCACAATCTAAATATAATAGAAATTATTTTCCCAGTGCCTCGTCTGTATGGTCTTGGTACAATGTCTATATCCTGGATGCAGAAGAGGTGGCCGCAGGTCAGACAGGTACTGTGGATAGATGGGGTGGGGGGGTTAGAGTAAGACCGGCCATATACTGTATATCTGAAGAGCTATATTAACACACAGCCCCCCATTACCAGCTCTAATGAGTAAGAGTGCCAGTTTTCCCCATGCCAGTATTTAATAGGCCTGGCTGGCAAAAGTACTTGTCGCTGATGTTGCTAAGAAGAAGAATAGGCCGTTCTTTTGTTTGTTTTATTTTTACAGAAATGGTGGTAAGGAGTACATATGGGTCTGGGATGTTTTTGTCTGTTGTACTGGTGCTTAGCTGCGGCATGGGGTGAGATCTGTGTGTTGGAAGTACTCTGAGACAGAGATAGCTGTGTATGGCTACAACTTATAACTGCACATGTAACACCATGACTAAAGTCACCATACGGTTACTATTTAGGAAGATTCGGTTGGGGGAGTGTACACATGCTGCAGGTCCCATTCTAGGAGACGTCAATGCACGTTCCGCTGTGTAATAGATTTTTTACTTGCTGGGATGCAGAAAGCACAGGTGGCTGTAGCAGTCATGAGAGGAGTCAAGTGCAGACCTACCATGGGGTGTGTGTGAGCGGAGGCAGCTAATTGTATTGAGGGGGCTAGGGAGGGGTCTGATTTCCCCCTGTTTGCTGGAGTGGAACCCAATAGCAGGGAACAATACCAAAAGGAGAGTCCAGGCTAAGGTACAAATAGGAAATCCAAGAATGCGTTGTCGGAGTATAGTCCAGGTCAAGGCAGGCAACAAGTATTATAAACAGGAAATCAAACCAGGGGTCGATAACCAGGAGATCCAAATTGTGGGGATGGAAGGCAGGAAACAGGAAAACAGGAAACGAGGCTTCATAGCTGCTGTGGGTATGGCAGAATAACTCCGCAACAAGTCTTGGCTTTGGCTGGAATTTAAACCCAGCAGTGACCAGAAACACCCCTGTTGTCTGGGCAACAAGGAAGCTACAGGTCCCTGGAAACCAATGGAACGGCTAGGAGAGAAGGTGTGCACGCAAGGCCCTCCCTGTCAATGATCAGCACCTGAGGTGACTAATAGGCCATGGCAACTTCACGTACATGCACGCACCAGCAACCAGCCACTGCCATGCACCAAATCACCCCAAGAAGGACCCTACGATCCCCGCCGTGCCCACCGGACCCCAAGTAAGAGGGCACCCCTGGTCCCATGACAATGTTATACATTTAGAAACTTGCATCAGCCCAGCTATAACTGGTTCTCTTTAAGAAGCATAACCAAACAACTAAATAATTTTTTCCAAATAATTGCCCAGTAAACATGAATGTCTTCTAGCAGAAGCTAGCAGTTAAGTGAACATACTCCCCGCCCCCCCCTCCTTCTGACTTTTCTGAGGGCATCATAGTGGCCAACCAATCACAAAAATTCACAATATGATAACTCTCACTCTGGTGGAAATTGGCTAGAACAAGGGAAACAAGTAAAATCTGAAAGCATGTACTGACTGAGCCAAATGGCTTCCGGGTTATCCACTCATAGGATTGTGCTATTCAATGCATGCAACATTTGGGCCATTTGTTCAGTGGTTTTCCCCAAATGGAAGCTCGCTTGTGGTTGAGAAATGTGGTTCGGATGGAGGCTGGAACAACACCGCCACTGGATGCATCCACCTTCTGTTGTGAGCGTAGCATGGGATGTGTGATGTCGTTGTGCCACCAATCCCTTTAAAAGTAACAGTCTGTGTTGCACTGAACCAGTCTATAGCCTTGATTCTCAACTGGTGGGTCGTGACCCAAAAGTGGGTCGCGACCCTGTGTTCAGTGGGTCGCCGCGTGCCTTCCACTTTTCTAGGTAAGATGCTCTTCAGCCTCCCCCTGGTGCAGCACTGTCAGTTCTCGCGCTAAGCAGCCATTAAAAATATGCTGCCCGTCACCGTGTGTCAGCTTGAGGTGGGGTGGGCTGGAGCTATGTCCGCGAGAGAGCTCTATCCATACATGCATTGCTTACAGCTCCCTCGCATGCCCTGTAGAGGTGCCTGGACCGGAGTGATGTCACGTTCTGGCTCCCAACACTTATACAGAGTGCGCAAGGAAGTTGTACAAGCAATGTACATATGGATGGAGCTTCGTCACAGCACAGCGGCCCACACTGGACCCCAGGACGAGAATCCACTTCAGTTCTCGTAAGGTAGGGAGACGTGTATATGTGTGTGAGATTGTGTCTGTGTTTTTAAGGGCCTGTTCACGCTAGTACAGTGTGATAATCGAACAGTACTGTGTCATTAATGAACTGTACCACGCAATCGCATCTACTATGCATTCTGGTTCGGGAGGTGCGTTGCCATTCATTTGAATGGCACCCAAACGCACCTCCTACCCACAGTTCAATCGCCTGCACCGAAACACCGGTACCACAATGCCGTGCCTTCCATTATAGTGCGACTTGGGTCGCGACTTAATGAGCACGGACAAATGTGGGTCCTGAGGTTATACAGGTTGAGAACCACTGGTCTATAGGGTCCAAACATTGCCTGAAACATGGCAGCTGGCCAAAAACTATTTGTGGGCCGCTACAGGCTGTTCTTCTTTGATGCATCTCGACATGGCTAGACCACATTGCATATGGGCCTCTTTTTGTCTGATTGATAGAGCAGCTATCATTTGTCCATTGTAGGTTCTTTCTTTAAAATTAAAAGGATAACTTATTGGTTGCAACAGGCAACACAGAAATTTCAAGCTTTTTTTTTTTTTAAAAGAGGCTTGTTGTACACGGAACAGAGGAATTGCAGTCAGATGATTCTCGGGCTTATTGTACAATGAACAGAGGAATTGCAGTCTGGTAATGATTTTCCAAGGTTCTGAAACAATATGTACCTCTCATGTTTTAGTAGATGAAGATATATCCAGGACATCAGCCTATGCTAGAATCCCTAAACTATTGCCGGTTCAATAGGAGAGGGAGCAGCAGAGGGCGCTACTGTCACAGCTCCGCATCATTCCAGCTAACACAAATAGGGAGAGATAGGTAAAAATCCGTGCTTTGTTTTCCACATTGCAGTTCATATAGTGCTTCATGTTGTCATTGTTTATGGTGTGTGTACAAAGAGCCTATTGTGTTTTTTTTCTTTTTATTCAACTTTCTTCATAGAAAAAAATGACAGTAGCAAGGAGGGGGTTGAAAACAGCATGATGTACAAGGTAATTCAATCTGTCTGCTGTTTATTGAAACAATAACAGCTATGTGATAAAACTAAAAACCGTTTTGGTTTTGTATTGCATGTAAGACTCTTGATATTCATGTAAAGAAGAACTTTGATCTTGATAGATAGTTTGAGAGCTTTAGATCCATAAGCATAACTTATTAACTGTCTCTGTTGCGGATGCTGTAACAGGGAACCAAGAAACCAGGCAGAAGCGTAAAGTGCAGGTTAAAAAAATTAAAGGAGCTTACTGAAAATAACAATAAACAAAATGGTAAAAACAATGGAGAAATTGCAGGACATCGTCAGTGCCAAGCCAGGGGTCAGATGCCAAAGCGGGTAGTCAGCCGAACCAGGTCAGGGAACACAGAGTAGAATGAATGGAAATAGTAGCAGAAGTCAGGAACCAGGAGATCAGTCAGCCAGAGCCAGGGTCATACATGGA